TATATATATATATACATATATATATATGTATATATATATATATGTATATATATACATATATGTATTATAAATATATATATATACATATATATGTATATATATATATATATACATATATATATATATATATACATATATATATATATATATATATATATATATATATGTATTTAAACATACATAACATATAAAATATATATATATATATATATATATATATATATATATATGTATATATATTATGTATATATATACATATATGTATTATATATATATATATATATATGTATATATATATATATATATATATATATATACATACATACATATAAATATATATACATGTATATATATAAGTATATATACATACCTCATAATTCCAAAGGGTTATATATATATATATATATATATATATATATATATATATATATATATTATTAAAGCAAATTTATGTTCGAATTTTAGCAAATAAGTTTTACTTAAAATATTGCGTGTTCTCATTAAATCTGTAAAGTCAACGTATGTAAAAAAATATAAATAATTCAAAGTACGTAAAAAAATTAAAAAAAAAACTTAAATAACTGATAGATTAACTAATTAAAAATCTAACTATAAATTACTATTAACATACTATACAATTAAAAAACAAATACAATGTATTATGAACTAACCAGACATTCCTGATGGTAAATATGTTATTTCTCCTTCATTTGTCATCACACCAGCAATATCAAGATGAGCCCAGTTCTCAATACTTACAAACTCCTAAAACATAATCAAATAAAATCAAATAATACACTTACTATATCTATATATGAACACCAAAAATATTAGGAAACACAATTTCCTAATATTTTATGTGCACTTTAATTTGTTTACAAAAAATTTTTTGCAGTAATAAAAGTCCTTTGTTATCTAATTATAAATTCTAAATCTTCAGTTGATATATGTGCTAGCCCCTGCAGCTTCCTATTTAAGAATGACATCAGCAGTTTGCATCTAATGGAGCTAATCATTAGTCCCAAAAAAACGGATGCAATTATTAAGGTTTTACAATTTGCACTTAAAAACACTTAGCTTTAATACACTTTTCTTTTTTTCTCTTTTCTGATCATTTTTAAAAACTATTTTTAAAAATGAGCTGGTTCCTTGACTGTAGTGACCCCCTTGGAGTTGGGGGGGTGAATTAAAAAAACAATGACACATAAACAATCCATATATTGCTTTAAAAGTTAATGTGAACATTAACTAGACATTATAAAACTGTTAAAATAAACATTTATTTATATATATATATATATATATATATATATATATATATATATATATATATATATATATATATATATATATATATATATATATATATATATGTATATATATATATATATATATATATATATATATATATATATATATATATATATATATATATATATATATATTATATTGTTTAAATTTGGTATAAAATTATTGATAACTAAAAACTTTACCAATATAATTTAAGCTTAATAAAAACAAAAAAGAAAACTTTTTAAATTAAGATAAAAATGCAGTTTGATGTTTTAACAACTTTTTTTCTTATAAGAAAGAAAAGTTTAATGTTAATAATGCTCTGTCAACCGAAAAAAAACCTCTTCCAACTAAACTTCTAAACTTTTATTTTTTTTATTAAAAGAGTTACTTCTGGTATAAGTGACTTCTACCAAAAGCAACTACTCTGCCCATGAGTTACTTCTGTGATGTATTTGATGAGTTACTTCTGTGATGTATTTTAAGAGTTACTTCTGTGATGTATTTGATGAGTTACTTCTGTGATGTATTTGATAAGTTACTTCTGTGAAGTGAATTACTTTAATGTTTTATAAATTATATCAGCGTTCAAAATAACGGCTGATCAATGATCAAAGGTTGTCAACTTTTGGAAACATAAAAAAACTTTTTTTTTAATATTTTTTAAAAGGGGGATTTAGTATAACTATTATTTGAACTCATTTATTTTATAACTTTTTAGGAGAAACTCATTTTCATGCCTGCATTTAGAAATCAATTCCGATTTTTTGTTTAATAAACATCTTGGTTCACATGTGTACCATTTCAAATTTTTCTTGTAGGTATATTATGCATTTTTTTTTAAATATTATTATCTAATGCAATATAAATATATATATATATATATATTATATATATATATATATATATATATATATATATATATATATATATATATATATATATATATATATATATATATATATATATATATATAATACTATTAATTTATAGTATATAATATTTTATATATAATATAATATTTGTATAAAAATATTACTAAAAATTGCATACTATGCTTACAAGGAAACTTTGAAATAATTACACATGCAAACCAAGAATGTTTGTTAAGCAAAAAAAATGGAATGCAGGCATCAAAAATAAGTTTCTAACTACAAAAATAAGTTCAAATAATAGTTATATTAAATCCCCCTTATAAATTCTTTTTATAATAGTGTCAGCATATTCCACTAATGTGTGAAAATTTACAGTAGTTAAGACATTTACAACTTTTAATTTAAGACCTGTAATTTAATTTGTGGTATAAATTGAAGTTTTACTAATACCACCATTTATTTCTGATATATATATATATATATATATATATATATATATATATATATATATATATATATATATATATATATATATATATATATATATATATATATATATATATATATATATATATATATATATATATATACATTTTCAATAAAACATTTTTATGAACAAACCTTTAAAAAAGCTGCAGCAGTACAAGAACCAGCACTAAAAATCAAATAATTTAAAAACACAAATTTCATTTAAAACAATTATTTGTACTTAGTTTTATTGAAAAATAATTTACCCAGCAGATTTTTGAGTGTTTCTTAGATCAGCTGTTTTACTGCATTTCATCTGTTCTGTGTAACATTTGTAGATAGGCATTCTCCACATCCGATCACCGGTTTTCATACCAGCCTTACAATAAAATTAAAAAAGAATGAATAGCTAAGTTTTTTTATGATTTTATTTAATTGTGCTCAAGATAATTGCTTTGAACATTTTTTTATTTTAGTGAGTGACTGCTTACTAAAATGAAAAAATCTCCTACTCCTACAAACAGCTAGTAACTCTATTACCCAGCAATTTGAATTTGATTTTAAAATTAGCTAAATATGTCTTTGTTCACTACATTTTCTTAAGAAAATATGTAGAATCTATTATTAACAATATATATATATATATATATTATATATATATATATATATATATATATATATATATATATATATATATATATATATATATATATAATATATATATATATATATATATATATATATATATATTGCTTGGAAAACGCTAATACTTAAAAGCTTGAAACAAAAATCATAATAATATAATTTAATTTAAAATAAAATTTTAAAAATTTAATTTAATTTAAAATTTAATAGAAATAAAAAAACTTTATTCTGATAAAAATAAATATATAATTTAATTTAAATTTAAAAAATATATTTAAGTTTATTAATATTAAAGTTAATGTTTGGGTTTAACTTAACTGTCAAATTTATTTAAAAATATTACTGAATATTGTTCGATATTTACATTTTATTTATTTAAAAAAAAAAAATTAGCTCATTGTTATCGCAATTTCTTTTCTAAAAAAGAAATTTGTTAATTTCGAAAAAGTTTCAAAATTCGATACCAAATTTAATTATTTAATAATAAAAAAAAAACATTCCCTTAACGTACCCAAACAATTGTAGACAGTTTATCACAACCTAGTATATAGTGAGTCAATTTCATCTCCAATATTAATAATAATCAGAGTATCGCTAAATTTTATTAACATTCCCAATATCATGCCAATAACTTAGAAAAAATATCATGCCAACAACTAAAGAAACTTATGTAGTTTTATACCAATAAAGACACAAACTACCTTATGTAGTTGTGACCATAAATGATAACTTGTTGAAAATGTTCCAGTTGCTCCGCTTCCCAATGCTACAGCCATTGCTCCTAAAAAGAATTACATCATCATCATTTTCATCATCAATATAAAATTATAGTTACAAGCTTGTAAATTTATATACATTATTTAATATTGAATGTTTTTAATTTAGAATCAGCTTCTTAAACTATTAAGTTTGATTTATGTGTCAATATTTATTATAATAAACCTGTCAATGTTGCAACATCAATAATGTGTGTTGGATGGAATTCATTAGCATAGCAAAGAGCATCTGCAAGCACTAATCTACCTTCTGCATCTGTATTATCAACCTGTTATCAAATTGATTTAATTAAATTTAAGCTAAATAAAAGCAAAAAAAAAAAGCAAAAAAATAAGAAATAGAAAAAAGAAAAAAAGATTCAAATAAATTTTTTTTAATTTTAACATAAAAAAGAATGCCTGTAGGAACTTTAAATAAAAAAAAAAATTAAAATTAAAACCAAAAAAATTTGATTGAGTAATCAAATTATTGAAAAACTATTGAATAACCTATGGTACTAAAATTAAATTTAGCAGTCATAAAATAATATTTTTTAATAATAATAACTATTAAAAAAAAATATTTCAGCATCATAAAATATATGAAAAAAGCATCATAAATATATGAATAATAATAATAATAATAAAATTAATAACTCACTTCAACTGTTTTTCCATTCATAGCTTTAAAGACATCACCAGGCTTTGTTGCATTTCCAGATGGCATATTTTCAGCTAAAGGGACCAAAACTACTAAATTCACAGGTAATTTAAGCTTACTGACAGCATCCAGTGTTGCAATCACACAGGCAGCTCCACCCATATCACCTCGCATTAAAGCCATATCTTTGCTTGGTTTAATAGATATACCTCCACTAATAAAATAAACAAATAAATAATAAAAACATTATTTCAATTTTTTTAATCTTGTTTTTCTGTAATTTTTCTTTTCTTTCTTTTTTCC